GGTACCGCCCCAGTGACAGCTGTTGTACCTTTTTTTCTGAGAGTGCAGAAGACAGAAAGTCCCGAGGGTTTGTAAGGAACGTTTCCTTTAACGTCCGTCATCAGTAGATCCATGTGTTCATGTTCAGAGTGACTTTATGTGCTTCTTTCACTGTGATTGACTACAGCAGGATTCTCCACAGTCACTGACACCTGCAGATAACAACAGCCACATATGAGATTGTGTTTCAAAGCACTTTAATACACAGCACAGCAGTCAAACACAACTAACATGGAGACTAAAACAGAGTGATTGTGTTTGAATCTGAATCATTTCTCCATGAATCAAACGTGTAAAGCACACAGTCAGCTGAGCTCGAGTGAGTATTTCACTTCTGTTTGTGTCTCTTCACAGACTGAGGAGGTTTTTGTACGGCTGAACATATGAAATGTATCACTGTGGTATTCGGACAAGGAACAAAACTCGTTGTGAATGGTAAGTGATCTTTTCACTGTTATTACATTTATTTCTTATTGTATTACATATAGTCTACTCAGTGTAGATATAGAAACTCATTATTTTTTAGTTAACCTTTTTATTTATTTACAGTTAAATGTGCGAATTCAGTCTCAGACAGTTTTATACAGAGCCTCCAGTAACCAGTCGTTCACTTCAGCTTTAACTGTTATCTGTTTCATATTAGTTGTATGATATATTCAGCTATTATGAGTAATAGTATTGAACAGGCTGTTCTCCTGATTTAGGGAGCATCAGCTTTGTGTTTAATTTAAGAAATTTTTTGAAATAATTTTTTGAAATTATTTATGTACATTATTTGTGAAACAGCACATGAGAAACTGACCTGCAGTCTGACATGCTGTAATACACCTAAAACTGTGTTTTGTTAATTCTGTTATAATTATTAAGCATGCAGCTTTTATGAATTGATTGACTGCAGGATCATTGAAAACGAGCTGGTGAAGACACAAAGATAAATAAAACTAGCATAAACGTCTCAGCACTTAAAATATACACAGTGCCATGTATATTCATGTACATTTTAACCTAAAACAAAAATTGGAAATTGACTATTTGAATTGATAATCAATAACAAAACGACAATCAACTGATTTCTGTATTTGAACAAATAATTGTTACTTAATTAATTATTAAACGATGCAAAAAAAAAGAGTAATTGTTTATTTGTTGATATGTGAAATATTAGAGACGTAGAAAGTTTGAAATGCAGTCAGACTGTAATATTTGAGTTGTCTGGCGGAGATGAAGGTCTGTCTGCAGATGTTGATGATGATTTGTGTTTAGATGCTGCTGCTGCTGCTCCTGTGCTGAACATCCTCCGCCCGTCCAGAGAAGAGCTGAGCTCCAGTAAACTCACTCTGGTGTGTCTGATCAATCACATGACTGGGGCTTTTGCTGATGTGCGTTGGCTTGTGAACGGGAACTCTGTTACTGAAGGCGTCTTCACTGGATCTGCTGAACAGCAGCCTGATAAGAAGTTCAAGATGAGCAGTTATTTAAGCATTGAGAGCTCAGAGTGGGACAAAGACACACAGCTGATATGTGAAGCGACTGCTGCCTCAAAAACCACCAGCAAAAGCATCAAGAAATCTGACTGCAGCGACTGAACTGCTTGATCTCCTCTTGATTTATATGAGTAATTCAGTTTGTTTGCATAGAGTAGAAGAAAATATGGATAGAAACGATTAAAAATAAAGAAAGTATTGGTTGCTT